GTGACATTTCTTCTGATTTTGATCTACTTCAAATTACATGATGGCATGTTCTAGTATCGATGAAGAGAGTATCCATTAGCGTTACTCCAGGAGGAATTGAGATATGTTGGTTCCTGTATAGTGAGTCGTGACAGCCTGTCACGAGCAATTTATATGATGCGATCGCTGTCGAAATTTAATATGTGACCCTTCCACTGCTGGCAACTTTGCTGGTTAACCTTCGACCTGACGATCTCAGGGCGAGATCGCGTTCTTTGGAACAAGAGAAGATTATAGGGATTAATTCTAGATGGAGAAGATTTGAAAATGAAACGTGATTGAAAGTGATAATAAGAGAATTTCGTGTAAATTCGGATCATTGAATTTTTTTTAGTTTTTCGAAAGATACTCCTCAGCCAAGTCTTTATTAACTGCATTATCCTTTCATGGGAAACCTCTGTAATTACGGGACCAAATGTTAATACAAACAAATCAGTTTCTACGAATGTAAATACGATATAATCTATTTTTAAGAGAAATGAAATGATAAATAGAATCATCGAATAAAGAAATTCTTATGTCCTAACAACTTATCCTTCTCAGTTAACAGATTGAAATCGAGCGAGAAATTTATAGCAGCTTGCCGTCTATTCGTTTATCTCTTTAAATGGAAGATTTTTATTTATTTCATTTCTTACTAGAATAATGCACGGAGTATGGATTTAAGAAATTCAGTTTCGATTTCAAGGTCATATTATTGTACATCGCTCAGTTCAAAAAAGAAAATGCTGTCCTTGAAGACTAAAATGGTGTAACCCTGACAGAAATAATTGATGAACCACGATATTTGCCCTTATGGATTTTACAATTTCTCTTAGTTAAGGAAGAAAGTAAAAGTAAAAAGAGAAAAGAAAGATGTAAAAAGGGAGGGTACGAAGAAAATGAAGAATGACACATGTTCTGGCGTTTCACTGCGTAACGAAAGTTAGATATTTCACGCTACATTTGGAAACACCTTGTGTATGCATCACCATATGGCGGTAGAAAAACTTGAAAAACATCATGCCGACGATGAACAGTCCAGAAATGTTAATAAAGTATTATCCATCGTTGATACCTAATTCATTGCATGAAACTGCTTTTAGTTGACTATTATTATCGAAGCGTGCAATAAAGAAGTACATTCACGAGTGTACAGAAATATCTGTCGCGTTTTATCCGTGGAAGAATTCCACCGGAGGCATTGACGAGCTGAAAAGTCGATACTGTGTCCAGCAAGTCATCGAAATAATTGTGCTAATAACAGTTCCCCCATTGTATCTCTTTTATCGTCCTTTTGCGCCATTTTTAGTCACAGAGATCCCAATTTCCCAGTGTACGCGATGATTCAAACTTGATTCACCTCGTTTAAAAAAATGTCAGAGAGGCACGAATCACGTTGAATTTCATCGTCGAATCAAATAAGCTTCGTTGTTGCGTTGCATTTGATCGCGACTATGGATCTACCGCGGCAGGAAAATGGAATTCGTAGTAACTGACCTTTTCTTTCTTCTCGTTACGGACGAACCATCCTTTAATATATTCTTGGATTTCCCTTCGTGAGATTCTCTGCAACGATTTCATTACGAAGTATATTAAGGCGAAATAAGAATTTTTCTGATGTAAATGAACATTTTTTAGAATTTGTGTTATTACAATTTTTAATTTCTAACAGGACCATTCGTTCAATTCTATAATTAATTAAATTATAATTTCATTCTTTACCACGAGTTCAATAAATATATTTTTTCTCAGAAGAAATTATTTCTAGAATAAACACGAAGTACTATTTTACGAAAAGTGGTAATGCAGCTTTTGCAAAAATTATGCGAAAATAAAACATTAGGAATTATTTTATATCTATTAGATAGAATCTTATGAAAAAGGTCATATATCGTACGTAATCCTCAGCCGGTACATACGTAGAAACTTTTCACGTATGTATTACATCTTTTACGCCTTAAGAAGAAATCAACGCTACACGAACGTGTCTTGCGTAACGAAGATTTCTTTCGGAAGGAAACAAATTTTTCACTAAAAGTTCCCTTTCCCATTTGTGTAATGTTGCTTGGGATCTAAGCTGGGTTGCTAAGGGACGAAAGGCTTCTCGTAACGTGTCGAATGGAATTTTTATTCCCTTTCAATTGGTATTAATAGCGGAGGTGTGATTTTTATTGAAATTTATCGCCACCTTGCGAAAGGTCAGTGCACACTAAAAGTTTCTCTTCCTGCCTTCATCTGTTGAAAGGGCCTTAAAATCACGCGCCTATCTATCCTTGCCATAATCTTTTTATCACCCAGCTTCCACGAAGTCTATTTCGATTCAAGCGGCAATAAAAATCAAGGATGAAACGATCGTGAAATTCATTCACGTAACTTGAACGATGAATCATTAATAGTTTCCACTTGGCGACTCTGTAAATGCACAATCTCCACATACCGTTGAAATTTGCAATAAGCTGGGTCGTTTGAAATTCCAAGTACATGTAAAGAGTCCCCGAGGGATGCTAGACGGTACTACAGGACGTGGATAATCGGCATGCGATTTTGCGACGACGTACGAACGGGACGACGTCGTCTTAAGGCTGTGACAACATTACGAGATCTTGTAGTAAATAATTTTACGGACGGTACACGTGAAACACGACGTTAATCCACACGTATTTACACACACACATTCGTCTGGCGGTGACGCGAGTTCTATGTGTAAGCAAGTGTCACGGTCTCTACGTTGAGTAATCCTACATTCCCTCGCATAGACACGCTATGACAAATTAATAAAAAATGTCGTTCGAATAGTCGAATCATCGAATAACTTGCCACTTTGCATGGTAAGAGCTACAATTAAGTTTTTCGAAGGCAAATTTGCTCTTGAAGGCTGTCATGAATGAAAATTCAGCGCAGTCCTTTTTTAAATTAGCAAGGTGTAGTAATTAAGCTTTTGTTTTGTATATCTAGTTTAATAAAAAATAGCATCTGGTATTAATATTAATTTCCCATTTAAATAATTGCGAGAATGTGAATGCTTTTGTGTCTCACTATACACGCGTCAAGGAAAATTCAATTCTCTTGATCTATGGTCGCGCAGTTGGAAAAAATCGCATTACTGTAACGTACAAAGATTTATGCGCGTTTAACGAAGTCTGTAATTATTCTATTATTAGCAAAAATGTACATTGGAACTGAATCTTCCTTCCAATTGGAAAATATAATATTTTGCCTCGAATTCATCTTGAGGTACATGATGTAACAAATTTCAATATCAATTTCGATGTAGAACAATTATATCGATCAATTTAATTCAACATAAGTTTAAGAGAATATCTATTTAGGTTATCGTATCACGTGTAGAAAATAATAAAACTTTGATCTTTTCTAATTTTCTCACGAACCTAACACTTATGAAAGAAACACTGCGAACTAATAGCGTAAACACTTTGTAACATGTACATACCCTGTTATTACACTTGTGTAGAGTATTTTCTCTTGAGAAAATTAGTTTTTCTTTCTGTAATTTACGTGATAATAAGTTATTATTGATATATAGTTATATAGTTATAGTTGATATATAGTTGATTGATATATAGTTATAGTTATATATAGTTATCGTAATATGTATTTGTTCAAAGCCTTTATCAAGAAACGAAAAATGTATTTAGGACTGGAACATGGTCTACAATTCTAAATAATCAATGTTGATATGTGGGATGAAAAACAATTCGTAGAAATGGTTAATAAAAGTTATTCGTACAATTTCGAAAGGTCAACCCCTGTAGTTTGTTATCAGGAAACAAATTGGATGGGAATATTAATGACATTCTCGTCCCACTCGATAAACTCTATCCTCGTCATTTAATCGTGTCGGGAATTTTGCAATAATTACTTCATTCTGCTAGTTAATACCGCGTAGTTTGTGGTTTTAATTATGTACGAACATGTTGTTTGAAAGTTCCACGTCTATTTAGGATTTTTTGTTCAATATGCATCGTTTTCGTTGTTGTATTTTCTATGGGATATGGTCGAAAGATCATATTATAAAAACAAATAAGAGAAAATTTTGTATGGAAAAGCAGCTCAAGAGTGGAGGAAAAAATTCTTTTATCTGAAGTTTGGTTTTCGAGAAACTTGAGTTTGAAAATTCATTGTGTACACATCTGTGCACTTCTCTAACATAACGTATTTAACTATGAAAGTGCATACATATGTGCGTGTATACACGGCGAATTTTCGAAATTAATTTTCTCAAAACTTAAGCTTTAAATGAAAAAAATTATCCACGCTTTTAGTTTATCTCAATATTTTCTCATAGAGAACCAACTACTGTAAAATAGTTTCAGCCGTACCCTCTAGATATGCCATCTTCTATTTGACCCTTCGAAGTCTCGATAATTACCATTTTCTGTTTTTTGGCTCTTTTCGTGCTGTTATCGATCAATGGAGGTCTGCTTCTCTTTTCATCGTTTTTCCTTCGTGCTAAGCGACGGCAATTTTTCAAGCAAAATTCAAGGTAAAGGGATCAAAGATAATGAAAGCGGAGGAAGAGGTAGGAGAGATGGCAATACGCTGCAAGATTAATGTTCGGCTCGCGAGCCGCCGATCGAATTATTTCCTTTTTGTGTAGAAGAGTGTGTCGCGTTTCGTAAGGACGGATTTATAGAATATACCGGGTGTATATTACATAATTATGTTATAATTTATATTCTATAATTAGTCTATAATTATATTCTATAATTAAGATTTCGTTTACAGTGTTTTTACAATGTTAATTTACTTAATCTAATGATTATACCTGTACACATACCTATAATTTTCCTTATTCTACTTGAGCTAATTTCTTACTCTCTGCTCTCTGAGAGACAATTTTATTCAATAACTATAATTATACTCAATATATACGAATATCAGAAAGCTCGAGATCACATGCTGCTTTGAATATAATTATATTTTCTGATATTCGTATACTTTCTGATATTATACTTTCTGATATTCGTATATATAATTTATAATAACATCTATTAGTTTGAAGCTTATTCGAAATTTACTTCGTGAAGAAGCTTATTATATGAAACTCATTTACCCAAATAGCTCGTCATAAGCTTATTACGTCTACTCAGAGAACGAACTTTCCAGAGAATACATAGTTACTCTTCGTATTTGCTACTTACTTTCTCGTTTAAAGTCACTTGCATCGATTCGATGACACCCTGTACAACAGCGTGCAGTATAAATCCCGTTTTATCCCAACATTTCCCTCGTCGCTGTTGTACATCGAATTCAATTTGTGTAATAAATTGCGTTCCTATGATAATCAATATCATAAATTTTCGTCTGTCCGGACGCTTTCTTCCCGTATACGTGGCCTCGTATTAGTTCATATTCCATCGGTTTTGTGCCATCGGATGCACCTGTATCGAAATCATTTTGTCTCGTGATACTATTTCAAGAGATAATCACTTTCCAATGCCGATAAAAACGAAGTTCTATGGAGCTTACCAGTTCGAAGAAGATGCTATTTTATAAAACCTAGTTATAGATTTTTCAGATAAAATTGCAGTTAATTTCGTCTGTACCTGTCCGGTAGCCCAATTTATGGTTAACCAATGCATGTAACATGAGAAAGTAGAAATAGAACGAAAGATACTTTTTATTCGCTCGACCACAAAGTAGTTTCGATCTAATTGGCTTGGTTTATTGGTCTGTTAGCTTTACTAGCGAAGTTTGGTTAACAAGATCAACTTCACTTCGGGTTTTATTATATTTGCGAAACTTCAGCCTCGTTTCTGTGTTAAAGAGAAGCAAAGATTGGTTTCAAACAGGAAGTATTATTTTCTTTTTACTTAGTTTGATGAACATCGTTAATAACTTTTCAAGTTGCTTGAGAAATAATTAAATGTTTTACGTTTATACAGTTCGCTAAAAAACTATTTCAAGAATAAAAAAGAAATAATTTAAAATCTGCTTTTAATAAATATTTTAGATCAAAATAATAGCGTACTGGTTGAAAATAAAATAGAATAACCAGTGAAAAATATGTATTAAAATCTGAGCACGAAAAATATTGCAGCTTTAAAATTCAAATATATATTTTAACCATATATTTAAAAAATGATTGATTTTATTACAGATCTGTTTTATTAAATTTTATGTTTAAAATTTGCAAGTTTCCTGTGACTTACGGATGAGAGTATGTATTCCTATTTTTTGTCTAATGCGAACGTTTAATCTGTCAGAAATTATTACAGACATTACGAACGATATAATTATTACATAAATCAGTTACGTGAAGATTGCGTTGAACTGCTTGAAGAAACTACGCACGTACTATAATGGCGTGGCACTTTATCAACGGTGTGACAAGAACAGTAAAAAGATTACGCACACGTGGAAAGGAAAAAACGAGGAAAGCGCTAGTCAGTTAAATGAGTCACAAGAAGAATGTTTGAACGTTTATATTTCACATGTGGTATCATCGATTTCGATCCGCGTACAGATTCCAGTTCCAGTAATTTCCCTTACCAGGTATATTTCGATCGATGAAAGTATGCAGAAAATTTTCTATTATATAACCCTGTTATGGCTCTCAAATTTTGTATATACATATATAATGCCTCCCAGTCTCGATCTTTTCATATCGTTTTAGTTTTCAACCAAGAAAAGGAAGCCTTTAATGTTTTAAGGAAACCGTTAGCATCAATCAATAACGAGTTTTCCATATTTTTCTCAAATTTAACAAATTCTCTAAGTCTTTTATAAAATTTTCTAATTTCCGAATCTTCCTGTAGAAAAGTACGATCGAGCCGAAAATAACCCAAAGGCTGTAGCAAAGTATTCTTAGAGGATCTTTTCTATTTGAATCGAGTACGAACAATTGTATATTTTACTTCAAAATTTTACTGGTGATTGAAGATTTGTACAATGTAAAGGCTCTTATAAGAATTTCTTAGGTCGAATTCCACTTTGCGTACCAAACATTTTAAACTCAATTAGAATCGAGTCGTGACTTCTATCACTTATTAACTCTCTCCTAATCGAAGTTAAAACCCGAATACTCAAAAATTCCAGTTATATAACGTCATGTAATCCTATTAGGATTGAGTCAGAATGCAAAGCATTTGCTGATCATTTCCTAATTCGGGTAATCAATAATTTCAGACAGGATAAAAAAGTGAATAGAATCGCTTAAATTTTCGTATGATAATAGAATTAAGTATTTAAAAAGGAATAAAAAGGGAACATTTTAATAAATATTTAATAAATAATATCTCAGAATGTGTGTTATAAATGTACTTGCACATAAAAATTCGAGATATACTACGTTATCAAAGATTATATACCTGCCTGTCTTTCCACTCCTCGTAAATGCAACGATAAACGAAGTATAACTTTGTACGCATGAGGGACAAGTTATAGCGCAAAAGATTCTTCTAAACAGTTATTGTGAAGTTTGTTCACAGAAAAAAGCGTATTTATGCATATGTATACATTTCATATATGCGCTTGCATGATTAAAGAGCAATCTTCGCCCTCTACGTAAAAAGAATTCTCTTACGTAAAAACATTATAGCTTCCCATTAAATTCATCTGTATTACATGATTATTCCCACAGGTATAGTGAAGGGACCTTCAAGTTCCAAATTGTATATACATTAGCGCTAAAAATTATTCGAATATTATAAAATTATTATTGAAAAGACAAATGATGATCTTAGTTCTTCTTGTTATTAGAGATTCGAATGGAATTAAAGAAATACGCAACAGTTTAGAATTCTCAGATGTAGAAGATTATGTAGTTATTTTTCTTTCTATTTTAAGTTATTTCCTTAGAATTTATTTAAATAAACAATTCGAAGATACGTAAACATTATTACACATTAATGAATTAAAAAACTTCTAAACCTGAAAGATTAAAATTTTAAAGGTTTGAAAGTTTAAAAATTCGAAAATTCGACAATCTAAAATTTGAAAAATTCACAAATTTAAAACTTCTGAAATTTGAAGTTTAAAAATTAAAAAATCGGAAAATTTAGAAATTTAAGAGCTCAGAAATTTGAAAATTAAAAATTTTAAAGATCGTATGCATGTATTTATTTATTTATTTAAATTTGAAATTTGAAATTTTAAACGCATGGAATGTTGAAAACATTTAATGGATCAATAATACATAATCACAGAGCAAAGCATACAGATACTGTATTTACTATGCTACTATTATTCCCTACTTTCTCATGTGGTTTTAAGACACAGTTACATTTCAGAAGAAATAGTATCAAACGGCTTGTACAGTGTGGAAAATGAGTTTGCATAGGGTCTCGTGATGGTCAACGTATCAACTTGAAGACATTTGGTGTGCATACCAAGTTGCTAGTGGAAACTCAATAAGACGCTACAATCAGGTTACGCGAAACGCGTACACACGCTGGCTTCCCGGACGTTTTCAGTTATACAAAACGTGCCGGGACTCTTGGCGACGACACACCGCTTCATTCTGTCTTCAACCTCGCGCGGTGTATAAAAGCGCTGCAAGTCTTTTTTTTCGAGCACGTTTTCTAAACTTGCAACCTTGCTTCTTCCACTGTGTTCACCGATCGTCGCAAGTGTCTCTTGCGAAACGTCGAGAACGACAACAGTTTTCAGACTGGATCGATACTGGCCGAAACTTTTCATTGCTCGTGTCGCTCTGTTCTAACTGATGTCCTAAAGTTTATTATTTCATCCAATGTTTTATAGTTTTGAATATAAATATTTCTGATATCAATTAATTGTAGGTTTAATTATTGGCATGTTATTAAGTTTATTATATATTAAATAGAATTATATTAAATATTATATATTAAATAGAAAATCATCCTATACGTACAGCTATAATGTACGATATTCTCCCATTGAACATTAACGAACTAGAAAAAGATTACACGCGTGTATTTTTTGAAAAAACCAATCCATCGATCGAGTTACAAATGAAAACGAAGAGAACGCTCGACGATTCCACGAGCTTTCGAAAATCCTTGTGCAGTTACGTGAAAGCTTTTCCAATAGAAGAGTGTATATTCCCTCTTTTCTCCCCTGGCAAAATCCTGACGAGATCTGGTCGCGGTTCGCGTGTTTTGTTTCGAGCGTGATACGAGTATAGAAGAGAAGGAAAGAATGGTCAACGATATTTGCACGCGCGTGCATATGCGCGGACATGATTTCTGTGCATTGAATAAAACGATTCGCAATATCTGGGCTAGTGATTGATATTTCTGCGTCGCTTTTGAGAGGCAGAATGAAAGACAAAGAGAGGAGGAGAGACGACAAAAGTGCCCCACTTTTCGAGACACCCTAGAGTGTTCGTATCTTCGATCGAACCGCTTTGTTCAGCTCTAAGGATCCATCGAAACGGCCATGTATGTATGTACGGACGTGGAAAGGTGAAAATAAACGAGAAAATAGTGGATGATCGCACCTTATACGTCCGTGGACACCTAACGAGACCGTGAAATTGAGATTGTTCAACGTGCACAGGTAGTTGAAATTGGCGTTCCATGTGGTCCACGTGTGCGATATTAGACGGACTTAATTAAGAGATAAATATAAATAACGCCAGGATGTGTATGATATCCCGAATAAATATAATTTTAGTCATTCGAGCTGTAGGTACACGAGACGAGAAAGGGTAGTTAACGTAATTGGTATTATTTATAGCGTCTTCGTGCACATAAACGGCAATCCTGTGATGAGTAGTAGGTACATACAATAATATGATACACATGTATACTATAGTACCTACATACATAGAATACATTTATTCTTTTTTTTTTGCTTCTTAATGAAAAACCACCAGCCTACGTACTTAAACGAAGAGATTACATAATTCGATAAACTAATTAACTTTATCATGTTACGAGACGACCGGAACGATTAGGGGAACAAGCGAACTTTCCGCGTCGGTTCTAGAACATTTGCGAAACTTGTTATAAATTGTGCGGGCAACTTTCTCGCTCACACTTGGCGCACACTTCGTGGTTGACCTCATTAATGGCTAACAAGTTGCCCGCGAGGACGAGTTTGAGGAACAATCGAGTGGAAACTGACAACTGGAGACGCGTCCCGCGTCGAGGCTGTTCCCAGTATACCGCTCTAAATTTAGGTGTTCGTGAAACCGTGCAGTTTAATTAAAACGTCCACGTATACGAGCAATTTTCGCAACACGTTTCACGAAGGAAAATTGCTTAAATGAACGAAGAAAAAATAAAAATTCGCAGTACGTAAGAAGGACCTGGTTGCATCGAAAGCGTTATGTTGATTTTTAAGAGGTTGTGTGTATGTTTGAAAATTAATCAATGGCCAGGAACAACCCTCGTAGTTGCTGGAATAGTAGCATACATATGCAACGAGATTCAATCCATTATCCATGTTGAATATGTAAATAAAACGTGCGTCGTTCGCTTAGCTTACAGTATGTAACATTGTGAGTTTGGTCACTTTCGTTGTTATTCTTTACTCAACAAAAAGAATTTCTTTACAATTTTGTTGGTATGAATCATTTGCTAAAGAACGTACATATACGTTTTTTTGTAATATACAATTATTTGTATTATTTCCATTTATGCGTATTACGTTACAATTAAGTGTACAAAATACTTTATTATTTCCACGTCTATTATTTTTTTAACAAAGGGTGCCTTCAATTCCAAATATACTGAACTGGAAGAATCAAATTTTATCTTCAATATCTATTTAAATTTTCCTCAATGAATTTCATGTACATATTTCATGTTTCAAGAAGTAACGTAGATTTTTATAGAATTACAATTTTAAGGTGTCTTAATCTATTATATTCTCCTGATTATCTGAAGCTCGTCGACGGAAAAATAATCTCATAATATGCTCATACAACTACGAAAAATCTTGGAAAGCTTATTACGATAACATCAGCTTGCATAATTCGGGTATTTATCTCCTACAACTATTGGGTCAGAATTGAATCGTTTGAAGCATGAATCGTAGCCAGTTCTCCCCTGTGAGTTTCTAGTAACAAACAATTTTATTTAAATTCGGAGTTTTGCCAAACCTTACGTTGTGCGCGTCGAATAAAATGAAATCGTTGTTCACAAACTACGCCATTCGCCCTCGGATTTATCTTAAAATAGAACGTCGGAATGAAGATTTTGCATATCCTGCGATCATAAGTGATTTAACAAAATTTAACAAAATCTGGACAGGAAGGTCGAGGAAGTTTGATAATTTCAGAAACGTAAAATCATTCAATTGAAAATTACACATTTATTTTGTGAAAGCAGTGTCATTGATTAATGATTGCATCACTGTATTTACGTTGATATTATCGCGCATTTATTCGATGTTAAAGTGAGGCGAGTCTCGTGTAAGCCTCACACGAAGTTTTCACTTG